GATTTCGGTGGACAATATGGCATGGTAAGGACATGTTCACGAACACGCAATAACACGATGGGACATCATGGCTGTACCTCACGTTCGAAGCCGATACACGTGTCTTGAAAATCGTGACGTAGTTTCAGACCGGCGTCGTGCAGGGGTCGCAAATGGTCAGCAAAGGCAGGGGATTTTTGCAGTCCTATCAAATTTGTGACATCAGTCATCGGGGTAGTACCATGTTGCATTCAATAATAAATATTTGTGTTGAAATTTCTACGATTCCCGGAACAAAATGAGTGTGTGAATAGCTCCGGAGAGAAAAGGCACTTTTATCATCAGACATTTACCGCTACGTGGCACTGCGATCACTGCCAATACTGTCACTGACCAGTGTAACTAAAATGTCAGTAAACTCACCGCCATAAGTACAATTGCACCAAAAATGTCACTAATAAAAGTCTCTCTATACAAGTGTACCAACATAATGTTACTTTCCTGTCCATGACTAGGTTTTGTGAGTGGCTTCTTTCCTTCAGGCTGGTAAAGATAAAGATAAGTGGTTTTCCCGTGACGATACGTGATTTACGGCGGACGAAGTGGCCTTAGAATTTATTTTTTACCCCTCAACGCCGATTTTTATTAAAATAATTAAATTAAGAAGCGTGGGGAGACGGGTGTGTACAAAATTTAGGTTCGTACGTGAATATTTGAGGCTAATATTAAAATTGATGCTTGAGAAATGGGCGACTGAGACTGAACCAGCTCAAAACAAAAATGAAGCTTCGATTTCCATGACAGTCGGACGGCTACTTAGTCATCAGTTTTCCGACCCCTGTGCACTATGGCTGCCGATGTGCGCCTGTACAATGACCTCTCACCAACACGCAAATCCGTTTCGGTCCATACGACGCGCGAATTCTGATGAGACACAGCGCATTGGTAAATATGACACATGGGAAATATACTAGCTTATGCAACTCTATTATAGACATTTCTTGGAACGTTGCTTGTCTGGTGCTTCGGCTTCAACAGGGTATGCAACAAGTAGGGTTCTACATTACCTCCTTGGACAAAGGGTGCAGTGATGTTCTTGATCTTAAGATGGCCAACGCAGGTATATTAACGTGTTCGAGGGAAATTTCTCGGATCGTCGGAAACAATCGTATATGGCTTATCTCTTAGAAAAATCGAGGAGGATAATAAGGATAATATTCTGTACCTCAGAATCTGAGAGTCTGAGGATGTGGAATTGATTTATATTCTTAATATTCGAGTCTTTTTATTCCTTTGTTATTCATTTAACGACGATCTCAGTTGATCCATTTATGTAGCGTCAAACGATATTGTGATTAATGATTAATTAACTGGAAAGAATGTGGACGGAAGCTGTGGTGGCCTAATTTTAACCCATTAAAATCCAGTGATAACTATATGTACCACCTGATTTAATGGTTATTACCTGCGTTTTGTATTTATGGGCTTCTCGTAATAAACAGCGTTAACTGCTGATGTTTTAATGGTGAAGAGTTGTGTTTTCTTCGCGGTACGGGCTGAATTCTTAAGTAATATTCAGACGAGCGTCAAATGGTTACACAACGAGTGGTTAGACTACTCGGCTACCCTGACTGAGGTTTTCCGTGCTTTCCTCAGTTGTAAGGCGAATGCCAGGGTATAACTTAATAGGGGCACGGCCCGCCACCCTTCCCCCCGATCATGGAGGCCATCAGCTGAAGTGATCTTCCCCCCATGCCGCAGAGGCCTTCACATTTCCAGCAATGCGTCTTGTGCGCAGGAATGGTTTCACCTAGGTAGGGACGATGCTTGCGCTTGCGCAGGCCTCTGCCCTCAGTTAGCTTCTTTGGTTTGGTCAAATGGTTAAGGTGTTGTCGCGGTATTTTCTAGAAGGGACTGAAGGAAACCGCAAAAAAAATCTTCTTGCAGAGATTTTAATCCGTGGTCTACCGAATAAAGTTCACTGTTTCCATGGTTCATTTGTTTGACTCAGTAGTTCTATTGAACACCGTTAATATTTCCTCACATTTTTCATGGCGTTTCTTGTTTCAGGTGAAAAGCCGTACAAGTGTCACTGGCCCGAGTGCGAGTGGCGATTCGCCCGTTCGGACGAGTTAACGCGCCACTACCGGAAACACACCGGAGCGAAGCCGTTCAAGTGTGCGGTCTGCGAGCGGTCTTTCGCTCGCTCAGATCACCTAGCTCTTCACATGAAGAGGCACCTCCCCAAGGCTCCCAAATGACCACGGTAACATAGCAACCGAAACTGTAAGGACAATTAGGCCCTTTGTTCACGTTTTTTTTAAAAAAAAATCGAAATGTTGACCAAATTTCTTACCACGTAGCGTTTCCCATGAGACACTGCGCGTTGCCCATTGCCATACCGAGAGAAGAGCCAATTTATTTTCTCCCAAAATTCTTTTGTGCCTATTTAACATTCGTTCAGTGTCATTTAGAACTTCGCCACTGATACATGGAATCTGATTTCTTTTTAAAATGAACCATAATTTTGGTGCAATCAGATGGCCGAGTGACTAGCGATTTGTGAATAGACTTAGTGCAATCCAGCAAAGGAACTTTTCTCCTGTATTACTCAATCATCGAAGTGCCAAGATTCAAGTGCCTTGTGGAACAAAGACAACATTTAAAACCAAAGTGCCAATAAGATTGTGCCACGTAGTGGGGATGTGTTCATACCGACATGTTATGTAGTTAAGAGAGCTAAACTAGTTTTTTATTGATTGTATATTATAATTTTTATACATTTTTCAGTCATGAAATAAGTCACTTTGATACCAATTTATTGTAATAATAATCGATTTTATAGATTTAATATTTATAACTTATAAGACGCCGCTCACAGACTAACAGTACTACAGGGTTGTGGGAAATACTTTTGAAGGCATAATTTGTCCCTGTCATAATAATAATAATAATACCGTTTCTACTTAAAATATTCATGGAGGTTATAAGAGGCCTGATAAAAACTATGGAGACTAAATCTGTGAAATTAAGCTACTGTACTTGCGTGTTTGGCCCCTTCACCATGTGAGTATTTGTTTCACCCTTTCCGCAAGTTCTAGATCGACTTCTCAAGCTCAGCTTTTTGGTATCGCCAAGGGCTTCTTCGTTGCTTTGTGCCCATTTGCTTCTGTATCATAGCCGTTTCACCGTACAAGGTGTTTCTCGTGTTTAGGCAATAACAAAAAACCCTCGCAGTTAATCATATGTAGTGACCACGGATTCTGCCTTACTTGCTGAATACTGCAAATTGTTCAAAAATGTCACACACCGGTCTGAGTGGGCAGACATGTTGTCATGGTGAATTTGCCGCTCGCTGGATTCACACCTTCGCGGCCATTTGCAATACTCTGCATCACAGAGATACCTCGACGCTTGTAAAAGGAAATTTTGGTTAATAGCCTGGCCAAATGGAACATCAGAATGGTTCAGAACATCCTCGTAAACGAGGAAAACGTTTGTTAAACACTTGACTTGTTTTTTATCGGCGCGCGACAAAAGGGGGATTTTCATTGTGACGATTGCTTAAAATTTTCTGGGGTCATAACCGTAGACTCATTTCCCGATCTATTTGTTTCGAAATTGTATTAATTTTATGCAAATTAGATCTATTCAGAAACAACAGACAGGCAGTTTTTTTTCTGCTTCTGAATCAGCACTCGTGGTGGACGTCGAGATGCGACCCGTTGCCAAATTTTTGGAAAAAAATTTTCCTTATATGAGCCACGAAAAATTCCTTCTTTTTCCACCATTTTACTGGTGGTCGACTTCCTATCACTCCGCTTAAGCTGTAGATTCGTGATTTCTACTTACGAAGGGCCTACGTGGCTTTCGTGAGTTACAAACGGGAACCCAGACGTCTCTCTGCTTCATCTCCGGTTGCTATTTGCTTTAGTGATAAGTTTCTGATTGCTTCAAGATGGTCTCCCAAATCTGTGGGCACGCATTGGGACGTTCTTAGATCGCGTCGTGACTCCACTCTTACCACGGATGACTTAAAGCAATGGTATCAGCTGTAAATACACTTGGACATGAATCAATGCGTCAGACAAAAGTTATCAATTCCCAGTCTCCAAACTTTTTTTATCAGACCTCGTATATAAAATATAGGAAGTGATATGCAGTTGCATTTTCAGGAAGCCAAATTCTTTGTAGTTTATTCAAACGCTTGAGTGCCCAGGGTTTGTGTGCCAGTTGATTCAGTATGTTTCTTTTTTGACAGTCACGCGTTGTTATAGATAGTAGTTAAAATACATAATTTCATAGACGCCATGTTCTCGAATCTGTTTTGTGTTAGCAGAATACGAAGTATTTTAAGTGGATTCTACGAAACCTCTTTGGAAGGCTTTGACGTAATTAAGTGATAATGCAAGCTGCTTATAATTAATTTTAAGTAAAACATTGGACTGAACTGCTACTCAGCACACGAAATTGAGAGTACGGGATTCGACTACCAGTCCTTTATATTTTAAGTCTGTTTAATTCTATAAGCTCCCCGAAAAGACTCGTTTTCGAAACGTCCATTCCTGAAATTTAGCAACTTGACGTAAATCTGAAGTAAAATAATTAAATTTTACAACTCGTTAAATTAACCAGATGTTTGTTTGTCGTCTGTGAATTAAAATATTAAATTTCACGACTCTTTCTATTAGCCACATGATGACGTGTGTGGTGTAAAATGGTTAAGATCGTGTGAAACCGGCTACATTTTTGTGTACATCCTGTAGTCGCAACCAATTATTAAAACACGTCACGGTGTAGAATTAATGAATGTACACGCGGACACTGCGTCCATAAGATGTCACCGTCCATCTCTCAACTGTCCTCAGCATGCATGCAGATGCCTCCGTGGGCAACTGTAAGCAGTAAAACAGTAGAATATAAAGAAGAATATACTGTCCGCACTTTTGGCATCGCGAGTTGAGATATCAGGTTCTCACGACGATGAGTATGAAGATGGCTGTCGACGTTTTCAGTTTCGGTAATTTTGTACCAGACTACGCAGCGTAACATGCCGGAAGGCGGACATCTTCATATTCGCCACCGTGAGAACCTGAAATCTCGCATACATTTTTTGTTGTTGTTGTGGTTTTCCAGACTTCCCACTTAAGCATGTGCCGGGACAGAATCTTAATTTGACCACTGCTGCTTCGTTTAACATCCGTCCCAATTCATTTTCAGAAACCAATCGGTCATTCGACGCTATATAACCCGCTCTAAGCCACTGAAAGCGTCGTTGAATAAACCAAGGATAAATAAGTCACATAAATGTGCTTCTGAGATGCAGAGAGACGCAGAGTGGACGCAAGAAATCTCAATAAAGTGCCGTGTTTCATTCTGATTTGCATTTTGTAACTTTTGATAAACGCTCAGTCAGATAACTGCTTATAAAACCGGGAGGAGATTCAGTTCTCCCTGGCATTTCACGGTCAGCTATTAAAAACTATGGGGAGTCCTCCGAATATGGAGGCACATACACGTAGGTCTCCGTGAGGCTTGCACTGCAAGCCGATACCCACCTGAGACCAGGAACATGTCGGCTGGCTCAGGCTGCTTGTCTTAAGCGGCTGGGAGGTCTTGCCGAGTCAGTACTGCCAACATTTCAGGAAGATATCGGAAGCGACGCTCCGAACCGATGTTTATTACCAAGATCGGTCTTCAATTAAGATCTGACAACCCTCTTAAAGCCCGAAGCTAGTCTACATCATATTTATTAATGCAGTCCGTACCGCAAAGAAAACACCTCACTTCACCATTACGTAGATCATATATTTAATGCAGTTTAAGAAAATGGTCCCTGTTAAATGTGAGAATCATACGAGACCCATAAATACAAGGAGGAGCTTTGCTGGTTTTTAAGCAGGTGGTGCATATACTTACCACTGGGTTTAATTATAAGTATTTGGTAATCATTGATTCGTTTTCGTTCAGGAATACCATCTGCTGGCCTGATTTTGTTGCAGTGGTTAAGTTAATCATTGTCACTGCTGCCACAAACGTAGACGTCAGGCCCCGGCTGGGGGAGTGAACTGCCGGAAACCGTTGAGAATAAATTAATAAGTTAATTTGAAGGGCGGAGCTTCAGCGTGACAGATATTGTGTGTCTGGATTAGAATTCGTTATCAGTACAGAAATAGTTTGACCTCGGATCATTTTCGCCCGTGTCGGGTATTAATAACGCGACCGTCTACGTAGTCGGGCTGCCTACAGACAGGAGGATTCAAACTATCTGGCTCAGGATTGAGACCAGTAAATGGCAATGAACAGAGTCCATAAAAGACGTGGAGCCGTCAGATTATGACATTGGTTTATATCTTAATGTATATTGCTTGCCCAGTTTGCTCCCAACTCGCAGTTTCGTCAGAACATTTCGTCCAAAGCATTAACAAAATTATTCCTTAAATCCGCCACTGGCTCTTCTATTGACGTATGAATTACAGACAACAGCCATTAGCACAGTAATAAGACAGTCCAAAT